CGGTTTGGTCCACGCGGCTTCTGGCCGTCTCGGCGCACCTTGGGGTCTCATACCATTCCACTGGATGGGTGACGTCATACCAAAGAGGCCATGGAGCCCAGGACTGCGTGATGCCCGGGGCACCATGTGCTTGGAGGAGGGGCGTGTCCCGTGACCGCTTAGGAACTTGGCCACGCCTGGGTGAAGTTTCGGGAGTTCGGTGGTCTGGGAATGCCAGGCAGCCCCCGCCACGTGGAGGGCAAATCGTTATGCCTCGATCGGCGTAACACTGAGACGAAGATGTACATTCGGACAAGTGTATCCACTCGGTAATTGCATTCTACTTCGAGTAACAGAAACAGGGAAGAACAGTGACTTAATCAAGAGCTTCTCCGTTGCAGGGAGCCCCGGGCTGCTGTGGGGTCCCCGTTCTGTCCTGCTCCTCTGCCGTCATTAGCATGCCTCCTGGTCCAAGATGGCTGCCGGGTCTGTAGCCCCCGCCTGCTTACCCTCAGCAGGCGCCCGGAGACCCCACCAGGTCAGGGGCGGAGAGGGGGCACTTCCGGGAAGCCGCACGACAACTTCCACTTCCACGTCATTGGCCACCCCGTCCACGTGGGAAACTGGTTAAAAGAGGAAGGAGGGGGTGAGAAGAGGAAGAGAAGGAAGCGAAGGGGGACGAGGAAGGAAGGGATGTGGACGTGGGGCAGGTACTGTGTCACCTCTGACCGGTGCTCATGGATTGTGCTCGTCTCGTCTGGTTAGCAGGAGACCCGAGAGCAGACCCACGTTACTGGGCCCCCGACAGAGAGCGTTAGGCTGGAGCTGAAGCCGCTCGTGAGCCGACCGGCCCCGGGGCGCCGCATGCGGGGCTGCGCGGAGGCCGGCAAGCTCTCACGGAAGGGGGGGGGGCCCGGGGCTTCGGAGGAAAGCCGTATCCTCCTAACAAATAAATCATGATTTTTTGAGATGCAAGCTTTGGCTTGCCACTGGGCGCCAGTTCAAACTGTACATTAGCCCGTGGGATACCACGTGACCGTGTGGCCTGAGCTGTCCCCTACAGACTGGGTGACACCAAGCCGTAAAGTGGGGTGCGCCTAGCAATACGCCATCATCAAGGGAAAGGGGCCTCTCCTTGAGCCCAGGTGAATTGTCACGAGCAGGTAGCTCATGCTCCTGACGTCCACACACCTCCCTGCTTCCACACCCTCAGTCTACACCTGTGACCTCACAAAGTGTCTTATGACACACTTGGCAACAGCATTATTCCCCCGAATCCAGTAAAGACACTGGGTCACAGGGACACTGACCAACTTGTCCGAGTCACCCGGCAGGTTAGAGGAAGAGAGGGGAGCGGACCTCTGTCCTATGGAGGGGACGCGGGATCGCTGCGCACCCCGGCGCCTTCCCGGGGCTCCCGTGCCCGAGGGGAGCCGTTCACGGAGGCCCGCAGAGCCGCGATGCCGGCAGCATCGCCCAGAGCTCGTTCTCGCCGGAATGGTGGTTTAGGCCGCTGGTCCGCGCTTCAGGGGCTGGCGGGAGGCAAAGTCACGAGTGTGGGCCACGGCCACTCGCCCGTTTGCACAGATGAGGTCCCCGGCACGGATCGGCACGTCCTTCCTTCCCGAGACACTCCACACTCCACCAACCCTCTCCTTTCACCTGCCTTTCTTCCCTCACCACTTTCTCCCAGGTGGTGGCTGGTGCCCGAGCTCGCGCTTCTCCCCCGTGACCTTCACTACCCTGAGGTGGCCCCGAGCGTCTGGCCGCCGCTGATGAGACTCCAGCCTGGGAGAGGGCTGGGCCGGGCCTCAGGGATGCAGAGGCAGGGGTGTTGTGGTCACAGAGCTCTGCCCCCTTCTCAGGGGTCTGGGCGCGGGAAGGATGGGATGAGGGCGAGGCAGCAAAACAGGGTGGCCGCAGCGGCGGGCCTCTCCCTCACCCCGATCCCGGGCTTCCTTCCTAGGAATCCTGTCCTCAGCACGTGGGGTGCCTCTCACTCCAGAAGCCACCAGCCTCTGGTTCAGCCGAGGCGCGGGAGTGGGAGCTGGGCGTCCCCAGCCGGCAGCCCTTGCCAGCCCGTGTCGCCGTCCCCGGCAGCTCGCAGGCTGGGCGGGGAGGAGGCGGCTGTGCCAGGCGGGGGTCCGGCGGGCTCTCCGCTGCTGTCATCTCAATGATGCTGGAGGAAGGCGGCGAGTCGCCGGGGACACAAGCTCTGTCTTCCTGTTCCTTGTTCTCAGCAGCAGCCGCCCCCGACGTGGCCCCAGGGTGGCTCCGGTGCCCCAGGCATCGCGCCCCTGCACAAGCCCCCGGCATCCCTGCCACCTCTCTTCCCGAGGCTTCGGAGGCTTCTGGAAGGGAAGCCTGCAGGCTTCTGGTTTGCCCCAGTGACCTTAAGCATGACCCTGGCCTCCGTCTGCCGCAAGGGAGGCTGGGATGACGAGGTGCCACGTGCTGCCCTGTGCTCCAGGGACGGCAGGACAGCTGGCGCTCAGGACCACAGCCGAGGACCCTGCCAGCCACGCCGCTGTGTCCATCCCGAGCTCCCTCTTCCACTTAAGCCACTCTGCGGGTGGCCACGGAGGGTCCCGCCTGACTCTTGAGCCCTCCTGAGTCTGCAGGGACCTGAGGGGAAGGTAGTTCCGGGGGGGGGGCTCCCCTGACAGTAGGAGGGGCTGCTTCACTCTGGCCTGGAGGGGGGACAGTCCCAGCGCAGGGGGACGACTCAGGCCAGCAAACAGTATGGGTGCAGGGGACAGCCTGGGTGTGAAGGGTCGGCCCAGGGTGTGAGGGGACGTCCGGGTGTGAGGGGACATCCGGGTGTGAGGGGACTGTCTGTGGTGTGAGGGGACATCGGGTGTGAGGGGACATCGGGTGTGAAGGGACGTCCGGGTGTGAGGGGACATCCGGGTGTGAGGGGACTGTCTGTGGTGTGAAGGGACTGCCTGTGGTGTGAGGGGACATTGGGTGTGAGGGGACATCGGGTGTGAGGGGACATCGGGTGTGAGGGGACATCGGGTGTGAAGGGACGTCCGGGTGTGAGGGGACATCGGGTGTGAGGGGACATCGGGTGTGAGGGGACATCTGGGTGTGAGGGGACATCGGGTGTGAGGGGACGTCCGGGTGTGAGGGGACATCTGGGTGTGAGGGGACATCCGGGTGTGAGGGGACTGTCTGTGGTGTGAAAGGACTGCCTGTGGTGTGAGGGGACATTGGGTGTGAGGGGACATCTGGGTGTGAGGGGACTGTCTGTGGTGTGAGGGGACATCGGGGTGTGAAGGGACTGTGGTGTGAGGGGACATCCGGGGTGTGAGGGGACATCCGGGTGTGAGAGGACATCGGGTGTGAGAGGACATCTGGGTGTGAGGGGACATCGGGTGTGAGGGGACATCGGGTGTGAGGGGACATCCGGGGTGTGAGGGGACATCTGGGTGTGAGGGGACATCCGGGTGTGAGGGGACTGTGGTGTGAAGGGACTGTCTGTGGTGTGAGGGGACATTGGGTGTGAGGGGACATCCGGGTGTGAGGGGACTGTGGTGTGAGGGGACATCCGGGTGTGAGAGGACATCGGGTGTGAGGGGACATTGGGTGTGAGGGGACATTGGGTGTGAGGGGACATCGGGGTGTGAGGGGATTGTCTGTGCTGTGAGAGGACATCGGGTGTGAGGGGACATCCAGGTGTGAGGGGACATCCGGGTGTGAGGGGACGTCCGGGTGTGAGGGGACATCTGGGTGTGAGGGGACTGTGGTGTGAGGGGACATCCGGGGTGTGAGGGGACATCCGGGTGTGAGGGGACATCGGGTGTGAGGGGACATCTGGGTGTGAGGGGACATTGGGTGTGAGGGGACGTCTGGGTGTGAGGGGACTGTCTGTGGTGTGAGGGGACATCGGGGTGTGAGGGGACTGTCTGTGCTGTGAAGGGACTGTCTGTGGTGTGAGGGGACATCCGGGTTGAGGGGACATCTGGGTGTGAGGGGACATCTGGGGTGTTAAGGGACATCCAGGTGTGAGGGGACTGTCTGTGGTGTGAGGGGACATCCGGGTGTGAGGAGACATCGGGGTTTGAGGGGACATCGGGGTGTGAGGGGACTGTCTGTGCTGTGAGGGGACATCTGGGTGT